GGCGGACGCGCACGGAGCCCCGGCAGGAGGGGTCTCGGTGCCGGCTGCCGGGCCGCCTTATAACGGAAGTAGTAGTAAGAATCACGACAGTCACGGCGGCGCTGGGGGAGGGGAGCAGTAGTGGCGCGGTGACAGCTGGTGCTTCTCGGCCACTCACCTCCGCAGGCAGGCGCTGCCGGAGCCCCGGGAGCCTCGGTGCGCAGCCGCGCGCCCAAGTCACAGTCGGCCTCCGGGTCCGGGGGACCCAGGTGGGGCTCCGATGGCCTGCGGAGAGCGGTGCCCGCCTTCCAGGCCCCGTTCTTGGTGCCTGCTCAGGCTGGGTGGGTCCACCCCCGCCGCGCCCCCATTCCCTACCTCCCAGGGCTATCCGGAAGTCCGTGGGGGGACTCACCAAGCAAGCAGTGCTCATCTGCCAAGCTCGGCTCCATGTTGAACAAAGCGGCTGCTTTGTGGAGCCCTGTCCGCACCCCACGCCCGGCTGGGGACGGCTCTGATCACCTCACTGAACACGAGCAACTCAAGGAGACAGTGAAGATTTCGTTTTCGCAGAGTGGGGAGACTGAGGCACCGAAGCAGGAGGTGGCTTCCCCCGGAGACCGAGGCAGGGAGAAATGGCTCGAGGACCCGGGAGGTGAGGTGGCTCACCCAGGTAACAGCCAGCAGGTGCTGGTGCTGGGGGTACCGAGGCTCCGGCTCTGGGTGCCCTGGGCGCAGGGGTGCGGAGATGCATGGCTATCCCCCGCAGCGGCCAGCGGCTGCAGGCCCTCCTGACCTGCCCGAACCCTGACATCTAGACCAGAGGCTCCAGCTTGCCTGGCCTGCCCGTTTCTTCACCCCACCTGCGTGACCCAGTAAACCACCAGGGCCTGGGCTTACGGAGGGTCTGTGGGAGGCAGGTGGGCCCAGGGCACCCAGCCCCTGCCTGGCCCTTCCCCAGATCGCGAGGCAGGGACAGCTGGTGCGGAGCCGTTCGGTGGCCTCAGCAAACCCCCACAGCAGCATCCCCCCGACCGCGTTTCCATTAGGAATCTGCCCTGGAGACATGAGGGCTCTGTGTGGGCAAAACCCCTTGCCTGCCTGCGTGAGGAGAGGACGAGGAGATGGCCGCCGCTTGTCCCGCTTCCCGTGGAGGGACGCGGAGCGGCTGGAAGAGCTCCGGGGCTCGCTGGCGAGCGAGCCACACGCGGTGGTGCACGCGGCACGCGGCGAGCGGGGCCGCGGGCACAGGCGGCGTCCCCACAGCTGTGGCTCTGGGGTCCGGGCACCGTCCCCGGGCAGGGCCAGGCTCCCCGGGTCCGGTCAGTAGCGGAGAAGGACCGGACGTCCGGGCTGCTCGCTGGGCTCCCCAGGAGGTGCCGGGAGCCGCAGGGCCCTCGGGATGCACTTCTGCCCAGACAGACACGAGCTCATGTTCCTCGACGGCTGCTGCGGCCCACCCGAGGCTCCAGGTGGCGGCGCCTGCCTCTCGGGCCAGCCCGTCTGCCGAGTCCGCCGTGGCTGCTGCAGTCCTGGACTCTGAGAGTAGTGATGGCTTCTGGGGTCCAGGATAAGTGTCAGGTGACAAGGCAAGGCTTCTCCAACATTTTGTATGACGCGCCCTAACGAGAGAAACCGGCTGACGTGCGTGGAAGGACCACCAGGCAGTCATCAGTGCTGCGTCCGGGAGCTGGTGGCGGAGGCCTTTCCAGCTGGCCGCCGTGTCACTTACATAAGGACTGATTCGTTTGGAAAACGGTCGTCCACTTTAGCCTCCGGCCGGTGCCACATCCCCTGGCCGTGCAGGAGAGCCGGCCCTGGGCACGGGCAGCGGCCCGAGGCGCCTCGTTCCCCGGCTGTGGCGCACCATGAGGAGAGTCGCAGACTGCCCACTCCCGTTGGGGTCGG